TCAGCCTCCTGAGTAGCTGGGATTATAGGCGTGTACCACCACACCCAGCTAATTTGTATTTTTAGTAGCAATGAGGTTTTGCCATGTTTGGCAAGCTGGTCTCAAACTCCTGACCTCAAGTGATCCATCTACCTTGGCCTCCTAAAGTGCTGGGATTACAGGTGTGTGCTACTATGCCTGGCCAAGAATACTGTATTTTTCTATCTCCTCAATTTACTCATATTTGGAGAAATATTTTTATTTATTTTAAGCTGAATAGTAAATTTTTATGAGCCTGCCCATATTGATCAGAGGAAGTCTGATGCTCCTAGATGGATAAATGAAATATATTTTCTTAAATACAGAGGAACCTGTTTATTAGGCAGGATAAAAATGACATAGAGCTGTTTATACATCATGATTTCACTCATATATAACAGTCTTTGACAAAGCAGAAGATACCTTTATTTCGACGTGAAAATCAAGGTACAATATATTTTATATTGCATTAGGGTATTCAAAACATTCTCACTAATGTTTTCTGATTGATTGATTGAGACAGGGTCTCGCACTGTTGCCTAGACTGGAATGCAGTGGTGCGATCATAGCTCACTGCAGCCTTGTCCCCTTAGGCTCAAGCAATCCTCTCATGTCAGCCTACAGAGTAGCTGGGACTACAGAGGCATACCACCACAACCAGCTAATTTTAAAATTTTAGTAGAGGTGGGATCTCACTGTGTTATCCAGGCTGGTCTTGAACTCCTGGACTCAAGTGATCCTCCTGCCTTGGCCTCCCAAAGTGCTGGGATTATAGGTGTGAACCACTGCTTCTGGCCTCTTTTTTAACATCCTAATTTGGAGGACACAGTTGTCTCTGGTATCCTGTGTGGATATTCTGAAAGAAGTGAGGTATAAATTCAATGACACGTCATTTGGCTCATGCTGAAACACAGAGTAAGCTGTTTATTCAGCCAGCCACAGTTCATCTTCTCAATTCTAATGGTGAAGTGCTTCTTTTGACTGTATATAGGATCAAGGTACCCATCTTAAACCAAATCTTCAATGATACAGTCTTTCCTTGGCACCTTGGCTCACCCTGTCTTTGTGAGCAGATGATCCTGTGTCCCTACATGGTTCATAACACATTCCCAGGCCAACATCATTAGCCATTTGTCAGAATTTTGGGTCTCAGGCACAAAAGAAGACAGTTCCATTATGGAAGGCTCCATTATGGAAAGGTTTGCGTTTGAAACGCTTTTAGGATCAATCTAGGCCAGTGATTCTCAACTCAGCTTCACATGAAAATGACTTGGATGCTTTTTCAAAAATATTGATGCCACCACCTTGGGACAACTGAGTTTTTATTGTTGTTGTTATTTGTTCTTGAGACAAAATCTCTGTCACCCAGGCTAGAATGCAGTGACACTATCATAGCTCACTGCATCATTCACCTCCTGGGCTCAATTAGTCCTCCCACCTCAGCATCCCAAGTAGCTGGGACTACAGGCGTGGGCCACCATACCTGGCTAATTTTTTTGCTTTTTTGTAGAGACATGGTTTCACTTGTTCAGCTCACTCTCGTCTCAAACTTTTAGGCTCAAGTGATCATCCTGCCTCGGCCTCCCAAAATATTGGGATTACAGGCGTGAGCCACTGTGTCCAGCTGGAAAACTGTTTTTACTGGTCTGGGGTGGGGCCCAGATACCCTTTTTAAAAATTAGTTTCGCAGGTAATTTAACATGATCAAGCCTCACCTCCTTATTTCAGGTAACAGCTAGAGAGGGAAATGGTGAGCCCCTTTCTATAGAGGGAATAGCAAGATGGTTCACATTCATCACTTGTTTAGTGTAGCAGGAGGCGGCACACACAGGCCTGAAGCAAAACTGTAACTCGACTTGTGACCTGGAACAAGTTAATTAGCTTCTCCAAGTCTCAGCTTTCTCATCTGTGAAACGGAGGAAATGGTGTACCTTCCACATAGGTCTATTATAAGATGTAAGTAAGAAAATGGAGGCTGGGCACAGTGGCTCACGCCTGTAATCCCAGCACTTTGGGAGGCCGAGGTGAGTGAATCACTTGAGGCCAGGAGTTCAAGATCAGCCTGGCCTACATGGTGAAACCCCGTCTCTACTAAAAATACAAAAACTAGCCAGGTATGGTGGTGCACGCCTGTAATCCCATCTACTCGGGAGGCTGAGGTACGAGAATTGCTTGAACCCAGGAGGTGAAGGTTGCAGTGAGCCGAGATCATGCCATTGCAATCCAGCCTGGGCGACAGAGCAAGACTCTGTCTCAGA